CTTCAGGAATTTTTGGTTTGAAAATAATTGCATGTACATTCTTTCATGGGAGCTCACCTAGCTACTAGGTGGTAGAACCACAATTTCTCTTTCAATGTTGTTTGGTAAATTAAGGAATTAATTTGGATCAGAAGCATGTATTCTTTGGTTGAACTAAGGTTTGATCTAAACATAATTGCATTTTGTGGAGAAGCTACTTTTTTCTATGTACCAGGAGCCTGTATTACACTTGGGCTTTTTCTTCTGTGTCTGCTCTTCAACCATACTTCCTGTATATTTGCATACCACACCTCAATAAAACATTATCTGTCTATCTATCTATCTATCTATCTATCTATCTATCTATCTATCTATCTATCTATCTATCTATCTATCTATCTATATTTTTCTCTCACTATTGCTCTAGAATTGTATGCTAGCTAGTTTTAGTTTGACGGTAACTTCATTGGTTTTTTTCTTTTTTTAAAAAAACTGTCATTTAGATAGGCCTTTTGGTTCCCCACACATCCTGGTACCAGTTTCAATTAGTGTACTTTTAATTGCTGATTGGCTGTGTTGGGTTTGATTTCCAGAGCCTGACTTACTGAGCATGGATTGTTTGGGGTTAGCCTAGCATTAGAGCAGTCCCAGGGGTTTCAGATAATTAACCCAATTTACTTGTCCTATACAACACTTTGTACTTTCATTGTATCCAAATGTGAAATGCAAAGGGCTCTCTGCTACTCCCCCCACCCTCAGCCATATAGTCTATATCTAGTTTTATATTTAATATCTACCTAAAAACAAATACTAAAAAGTAAGCCTTGTGTTTATCTTTCTGTACATTTTATAAGTGCTCACACTGTATTTTGAGCAAACAGGGAAAATGTTGTACTGTTTCATGTTTTGAAATGCTGACTGGATAAAGATTACACATGACAAGTTATTTATAGCTTTATTTATACATAGTGGATTCTCGGTTGGAATCATAGAAAGGAAAAAGATATGATAATTGCTTTGTGTAGTTCACAGAATGAAATCTCAAACTGAGATGTTTTGAATCTAGTTTGTACTGTAACCATTTCTAGGAAACCATATTTAAACCTCAGTGGTTATCATGAAGTATACAACATGTCAACTGTGTCCCAATTCACATCAGTAAAAACCTTCCACCACTTTATTCCCTATAACCTAACCTCCATCAGATAATGCTAAATAAACTGTGTTGAGTGCACATATTAATATATATCAAATGTACCAAGCGGCTTGCTGGCTGCATTTTCAGGAGTGTTTATCTGTGGTCATGCAGGTTATAACTCTGAATTTTTATTAGGAAAACTAAATAGAGATTTTATAATATTCCTGATTTAGCTTTACCAGCTGTGCCACAGTCATGGAAAATAACTCAAGAGGGTAAAAATCTAACAGTATGGAAGAATGCAACAGAGAAATTGCTTTTGCTTTGTGCTTACTTGCTCTGCATCTGGTATTATAAGGTTTAGGGTCATGTGAAGTAATTAATAGTCTCCTAACTTACATACTGCTACTCCAGTGAACTGAATTTTTAGATTGTGTCATCTAAAATAAAAACAATGGTTATAAATTGGTATTTTATCTTAGGAATCTTGAAAATACTTCTTTACAATGTGACTGTCAACAACATATATAATGTTGCCTTCATTAAAGGAGCCATAATGAAATAATTATGTACATTTCTTTTTATTTAGGAATCAGATAATTTGGGCCCATTGAGGAATGATCAAATAGTATAAATAGAAGAAATACTGGATTACTTGAAAGATAGAATTAAAATTGTAAGGCACTTCTTGTAGATAATTTATTTTTGGAATTGTAGCAAAGGGCACTGTGGAACCTCTTATAATGAACATCTTTCTTAATTTCTGAAACAGGATATGCATAATAAAAGATTGCGAGTGAAATTTGTGTACTTATTTATGGGACTCTTCAGATCTGACTAATTTCTGAATGTAGGTAGATAGCACTTATAAGTATTGCTTTGGTAACATAAATGATCGCTCTAGGTCTGTCTACGTTATTTGTGGCGGCTTTGCAGTTTAATTTCATCTAGTCAGGAAGCCCCTAGACAAGCAGTGCCTATGTCTATTTAATTCACTATTGCAGCTCCAGGGACTTGCTCACTGCCTAAACTATACACTAGGATATGTTTCTCCAAGGAATTTAGATGCATTTTATTCCTGTTGAATTTATCATTTCGAGTTAACTATTCACAGAAGAAAAATAACAGCTACTTCCATGCTAAGTGAACATGTTTTCTCTGTCAAAAGTGATGTTAGACAGCTTTCTGTTTTTATGATAAAATACCTGAGATAGTCAACTTGAAGATTTATTTTGGCTCATAGTTTTGTAGGCTTTAGTTTATGGTCATTTAATTCCATTATTTTGGGGCCTTTGTCAAGGTAAAACATCATTGTTAGGAACATGTTGTGAAGCAAATTATTCACTGTGTGGTGACTGGAGAGCAAAGAGAGAGATAGGAAAAGGTTATAGAGTCTCACTATCCCCTTCAATGGCATATCACAGTGACTTAACTTCCACTAGGTCTTACCTTCTAGATGTTCTTCTATTCCTAATAGTGACTTAGGCTGGTGAGCCTCTGAGGGACTCTTTGGATCTAAACTATAACAGTTGTTTTATATTTTAGGAATTCTTTTTAGGAGCAACGATGCTATTGTATAGCAATAACAGTGAAAATTATACTGGAAATTGGATACTCATATACACATACTTTTATATACTTAATTTTCAACCACTATTATATATTTCACATTTATAATGAAGAAAATGAAGTTTTGGGATATTAATTGACTTGTCAAATGCCAGAGATGTATTGTTAAATGGCGAAGCTAGGACTCATTTACACCAGTTAAAAATATGAGACCTACTATTGATTGAGCACTTAACTACAGATAAGATACCACACTACATGTTATTGTTTAATCTTACTATGAGCGAAGGATGATATAACTTCCATGTAACAAATACGGGAAATGAAGCACAGGAAACTTAAATCATTTGTCATAGATTCATGACTAACTCTACTCACGGCTGAGCTATATCACAGTACCTACAGTTAGAGTTGAGATACAAATAGCACTTGTAATAACCAATATTTTTGTAGCTGCACATAGCTTAAAGATATTTTTCAGACCAGGTGTGATGGCTGTAATCCTAGCTACTCAGGAAGCAAAGATTAGAAGGATTTGTGGTAGAAGGCTAACCTGAGGAAAAAATGTTGTAGCAAGGTTCCATTTCAACAAACAAGCTTGGTGTGATGATTTCTGCTTTAATCTCAATTGTGTAGGGGGCATAGATAGGAAGTTTGTTGTCTGAAACTGTCTCTGGACAGAAGCACAAGACTATCTGACAAAATAACCAATACCAAAAAGGGTTTGGAGACATGGCTCATGTACTAGAGTGCCTGCTTAGTAAATACAGGCCCTGAGACCAAACATCACTACTACTAAAAAAAAAAAATTACTTTCAGTGTTAAGTTTTTATGTCTTTACCTATTTGCTGAAGAGGTACATTTTAACCTATTTTTCGTTGTATTCTGCTGATTTAAAAAATGTCTTTGTAGTTAAAGAGTGCTATATACTTATGAATGGAAACTGAAGTTTGCCTTGTAGAACATGTCATTGGTTCCTCAACCAGAGTAATGAATAGTCAATCTTAGTTTGCTATTGTTATCAGTGTGCTTTTTGTTGTTGTTGCTATTTGTTTTCTTTATTTGAGTTTATTTTTATTGTTGTTATAAAGGTGATTTAAGGAGAGGTTATAGTTACATAAATCAGATAAACAGTACATTTCTTTTTGGGCATTGTCACCCCTTCTCTCGTTCTCTCCCAGTTTTTCCTTACCATCCCCACCCACAAATTGTATAGTTCATTTTCAGGATAGTGCCAGTGAGCACCACTGCTGCATTTGTCCACACTTTGTCTCTCCATTTCTGTGCATTTGCTTAAGTTTTAAGACAGGATTTCCTTGTGTAGCCCAGGCTGACTTTTAGCTTCCTAAGTGCTGTATTACAAGCATATATTACCACTCTTGGATTCAGTGTAGGTTTTATATATGGTCTAAATCTAGTTTAAAGTTTTCTATTTTATGTGATGCATTTTGTTTCCTTTTTAACTTCTGTTTACTTTCTTATTTGGGGCACCATTGGAAAAAATCATCCATTTATAGTTTTAATGCTTCCCCTTTAGCCAACATAGAGAAGGATTCGATTTTAATAAATCACAATTTTATATTATGATTGGTTACTGGAATACCACTTACAGAGCAGTACTTCCTGGTATTAAGCTTAAGATAGCTTCATTTTTAAAAGGGTTATTTTTCCCATAAAGTTTAATTTTAAATTTATACTATAGGTACTTAATGATATTTTAAGAATTTTATATATGTATCTCTTCTGTTTGCATATTCTAGGAGAAAGACATTCTAACTTTATAAGTAAACATTCTTACAATTTACTTTAAAAGAAATCTCAAGTGTTTGAAATTACTTGATGTTTTTAAAAAGTATTAGAGGACCCAGGACATTAGATGCTGAGGCAGGAGATCATGAGTTTCAGTTCAGCCTAATGCTACAAAATGAGGCCTTATCTCAATAAACCAAAAATAAAACAAATCATTAACAAAACCCATCAGATAATAAGGAACTAACTAGTAAAGTTTGGTTACATTGACTTAATCAAATGTACATAAACATGTATCTTTAAAGTATCATGTTCAATGAGATGGGAATTACAATGAAGACAACAACTTGAGATCTATATTTCTAGAGCCAGAACACTGTAAACCAGATTGAAACATAAATAATCTAATGCAAAGCAGGCAGTAATAAGTACAATGGCATAGATATCAATAAAATATAGTGACAATCAAGATAGGAGACTTATCTTGCATCTGGAGGATCTAGTAAGTTCTCATGGAGTAGATAGGACTGAGTAGAGCTTAATTTATTGCTTTCATTCATTCTAGACTGTCTTCTGAAGATTGATGTCTATTTCCTTGATCTCTTTAATTTTCTTGCCAATTTGGATAAAAATGGCTCAAATCCAGCAGGGAGGTCCAGATGAAAAAGAAAAGACCACAGCACTGAAAGGTACATACTTCATTTGCTCTTTCAGGAAAGTCCCATTGTGCCTACCAAAGATATAGGAACATTTACGTGACCTCTCCTATTTTAATATATATTGGTACCTAAGCTATTTGTAATTATTTGTATCCTTCACAGCAACCACCAGTGTCTGACATGTAGTTAGTTCTCAGTAAATAATTCATAAAACCATGATTTTTATAGGTATAAAAATTCTTAAAGTTCTTGTTCAAGGAAATACATTTAATTGTAAAGCTAACATTGTGTTTTGAATTGAGATTAGTGCTTTTCCCTATTTTTTGCTGATTGGAATGCTATAGTGGGTTAGAAAAATATGCTAATTCCTATATTGTCTTTGGCATTGGCATTAGGATATTTCAACACTTCAGAAGGAATCTGCCATGGACATGGTTAGGAAATTTCGTGTTTTAGAATATTTTATTTGTTTTAAATCTGCTATCTCTTGTCATTTTACTCCTCAAGAAAGTATCCATTGTTGAGCTGTAGTTTTCATTTTCATGCATTTCAGTCTATCTAGTAACTTGCTGGAGATTATCTGTCTTAAAGTTACTTTAATTTTTTCAAAGCTTTAGTATGGAATTATTTTAGTATAGTGGGGTTAAAGTAGGGAGAAATGGAGAAAGAAAGGAACATTTCTTTTTTTTTTTGGTCCGGTCATGGGGCCTGAACTCTGGGCCTGGGTGCTGTCCCTCAGCTCTTCAGCTCAAGGGTAGCGCTCTACCACTTGAGCCATAGCACCACTTCTGGCTTTTTTCTTATGTGGTGCTGAGGAATCGAACCCAAGGCCTCAGGCATGCAAGGCAAGCGCTCTACCACTGAGCCACCTTCCCAGCCCAGAAAGGAACATTTCTTGTTCCCCATGTAGTAAATGGGAGTTATAGATTCAAGAAGGTAGTTCTTATCCATAGCTGTTCTTACATGTTCAGAGTTGGGCACATACACATGATGCTGTCAGTCTAGTAACCCCTAATCTTTAGATAATGGTTCTGAGTGGGTAAGGTGGATGAAGCCAATACAAAACACGGGCAATTTTGGAATTCCTTTTGTTAAGTATGTCCTTATTCTTTTTTTTTTTTTTTTTTTGGTCAGTCATGGGGCCTGAATCCTGGGCCTGGACTCTGTCCCTCAGCTCTTCAGCTCAAGGCTAGTCTTCTACCACTTGAGCCATAGTACCACTTCGGGCTTTTTCTGCCTATGTGGTGCTGCTGAATGGAATCCAGGGCCTCATGCATGCAAGGCAAGCACTCTACCACTGAGCAACCTTCCCAGCCCCTTTCATTCTTTCTTTCTATAACCATTTATGAAGTGTTCCCAGATGTTTACCATTGCAAAGTCTAAGACATTTAGAAGTACTTCCTATATTTCAAAGGAGAAAACAGATTTAAATAGTCCCTCCCTTATTTCTTAATCTTAACTTGACAGTAAAAAGAAGGACTATTTAACCTGTTTTTCTTTTTTTTTAATCTTAATTCCTGGTTTCAACCTCTAGTCTGTTGCTGAAAATAATATACTTTTTGTTTCCTCATCTATCTAGCTTGCTTCAGTTCCCCTTCATTTGTTGCTTCAGTTCCTTTTAATCTTAAAAGAGGTGTAGGAAGGTGTAGTCCATTTTCTATAGCTGCTCATGCAGAGAGAGAGAGAGAGATATTTTTAATCTATTTAATCTGGGCTCTTTCTGTAACTTGGTTATGGTACAATAAACATGGTATACCTTTTGTATTCTGGCTTGCAGTTTTTTTTTTGATAAATGCTTCTTAATGGTATCTTTGGATCAGAGGGTAGTTTTTGATTTTTAATTTGATGTGCGATTTCCATACTTCCTTTTTTTGTTACACTAATCTACATTGCCCCAAAAGTATATTAGAGTTCTTTTTTTCCTTAATCATTTCCGACATTATTGTTGTTCATATTCTTGATGATGGCCATTGCTGACTGGTATATGATGGAATCTCAGTATTGTTTTGGTTTGCATTTCTTTTGTGGCTAGAAATATTGAGCATTTCTTCATGTACTCATTGGCCATTTGTAATTTTTTTTCAGGAATCTCTATTTAGCTCCTTTGTTCATTTACTTTTGTTATTAATTCTTTAGTTGTTTAGTTTTATGAGCTCCATGTATATTCTGGTTATCCAGCCCTTGTAGATGTGTGGTTGGCAAAGATCTTTTCCCATTCTGTTTGTTGTCATTTTAGCTTAGTGACTATACCCTTCTCTGCGCAGAAGCCTTTTAGATTTATGTAATCCCATTTGTCCATTCTTTCTCCTGTGTGCTGTGCTCCTGGAATTCTATTTAGAAAGTTCTCACCTATGCCAATAAGTTATAGTGTTTCCCTACTACTTTCTAAGGCTTCAGACCTTACATTGAAGTCTTTGGTCCAGTTTGGATAGATTCTAGTCAAGTTGAGGGACAAGGACCTAGTTTCAGTTTTCTACATGTGGATATCACAGCACCATTTGTTAAAGAGAGTTTTCATCTTTAAGCCTTAAATACTATTAGAAGAAATGAAAATATTTTACATTTACATTGATGGGGAGAACAAACATTAAATTTAAAAAGTTTTAAAAATCTATTTTCTAAATGCTCAGATGTCAACTGTCTTAATTTGTTTTATTCTAATATGAGCGAATATAAAAATGGGGTAAATTATAACAAGCAGAAGTTTATTGATCCACATATCTGAAGGCTGGGAAATCCAATGAAGGCACTAGACTTCCAAAGTCCTTCTTTCTGTATCATTCCATGGTATAAGATGGAAGGATCATGATTGTTGAATTTACCCCTTTATAGCAACAATAATCCCACCCTAGAGAGCAGACTTCATGGCTCAATTACCTTTTCAAAGTGTTATGAAGGCAGTTAAAACCAATGTGAGAGCTAGGCACTGATAGCTCATGCCTGCAATCCTGCCTACTCAAGAGACTGAGGTCTGAGGATCAAAGTTCAAAGCCAGCCCAGGCAGCAAAGTCCATGAGGTGCTTATCTCCAGTTATCCACCAAAAAAGGGAGAATGGAGCTGTGGCTTAACTGGTGGTACAACAATGTCACTGAGCAGAAAGCTCAGGGACAGGACGGTAGGCCCTAGTTCAAACCCAGAACTAGCACACACAAGAACAAACAACAACACAGTGAGAGGTTGTTTTTTGGGAGGGGGGGAAGACTATTGAAATCATAGTGCCAGCTATGCCAGGTATTAGGTTTCCTTTTTGCTTGATCATGTAAGTGTATGATGTCTTCAAGGATTGCAAGATATCTTTGTCCCAATTGCTCCAGCTGAATATGTACCATACAGGCATAACTATAGCTGCTTCTCTGAATCCTTGCCTGTTGCTCTATCCCTGTGTTCTCTGCTAAATAATAATACTCCAAGACTTTCTACTACCTCTATTATTTATTTATTTATATCATGAAAGTCTCAAGCCATTTCTTGGGACAGTTTATGTTGTTTTGACCCTTTATTTAGAGGTAATGTAAGCCATTGAGGAAATAGTCCTTATCTAAAATACTAGAAAATGCCTAAGATGATTACTGTCTTTAGGCCTTTGTAAACAAACTCTTCTCACAAGTGTGAAACTTAATGATGGTTTGAATTAGATTGGTATCAAAGCGATGAAAAAAATGGACATTTTCTGATGTTTTAAAGATTTATACCTGAAACAGTTCCAACATAGGTACCATCAAGTAGATTGAAGAAACATTGGGAAAAGCAGATTAGGGGTGGTAATGGTGAAAAGTAAGAGACAGGCTTTTGATATTACATTCAGATGCAACTTAAACATCAAATTTTATAAATGAAGTTGGAGATGTGAGAGAGTTTGAATTTAAGATTTTTTTTTAGGAATCAGAATATATATTATTACAGTCATGATCTTAATTGATATCAGTGTAGCTAGAAAAGAGAACTGTCAGTGAGGTATCAATATACCTAGAAAAGATAAGTCTAAAGATTGAGCACTGGGCACCCTTTAGAATTATAAAGATGAGAGGAACCAGTGACAGAGGTCAAATGGAATTTCTACTAAGGAACTAGGAACTAGGAACTACTGAGAACTAGGAACAGGAAAGAGATCTCTAATAAAAAATTGGGGATATTATTTATGACATATGATGGGTAAAATTAGATGAGGACTATGAATTCACCTGATTGGTGAATTTGCACTAGAAAATGGAAGAGAAGAACTGGAAACCACCATAGAGAGGTATGTGAAAGGTTTTGATGTGTACTTACTTGTATGGTCATGAGAATGATCTAGCACATTCAGAATAATGTATGATTTAGGATTGATGACAAAGAATATATGTAAAACATTCTACCTAACTGGATGTGTAGCATTTCCATCTAGATATATTTTGTTCATTTTCAATTTTACTTGATAATGTAGAAATTTGATCCTAAGTTGTAGTTTTAATTTATTGCTTCTATAAACAGTATGGAACATGAGGTCAGATTGATTTGGGGGAATTTTAGAGGTGTATAAGGATGCTAAGAGTGTAGGTAGACTCTAGAGCTAGAATTATCCAGATTCAAGGTCAGACTTTTCCCTCTTACTAAGGACAATTTGCTTAACTTCTCTCAGTTTTCTTTATAATTGGAGTAATTAGTACACATGGGGTCATAGGAATTAAGGAATCAATTTGGAAAGATAGGTGTTGACCCTCAGAAAACGTATGTTTGAATTATGTTGGTCAGTTTATCCATCAATTTTTTTCACACTTAAATCAATTTGCTAACACTTTCAGATGAACTGTATATCCTAGAATTGTAAAAAAATAAATAAGAAAAAATATGATAAAATATATAGTCTATTCTATCATTTCCTGCCATAAAACATGCACAAGCATAAAATTTATGAATTTATCAAAACTTACACTAACGTAGACTATCTGTGGTACTAACTGCAATTGAGAAAATGTAAATAAATGCAAAGATGAAGTATAACGTCATGCATAAAATGAACATACTATTTAACAAATATAATGGTAAAATT